ATTGATAAAGAAAGTAATCACAGGCAGATCTTTATTAATTAATTAAGCATTAGTGGATAATTTAAATTTTCTATCAGGAACCAATAAAAAGCATAATTTTTTTACATAAATTTTTTATTCATTAAAAGAATTAAAAAACTTTAGTAGCAAAATGAAAAATAGAATTTTTAAAATAAATAATTCAACAAACATTATTGCTACAAAGAGTAATTAGTATGATTGTTAAATCAATAATAATTAGTATGTTGATGAAAATATATTTAAATATATAAGAAGCCAGAAAAAAAAAATCGTACAATAGGTGAAAGATTTCAGCTGTTGAAGTGTTTTTTCTGGCTTCTTAAATATTTGAGTGCATTTTGATGCTTATTATACCACAGAAAGCTATCTTATCTATTGAATGATCCTTATAGTTATTTCTCATTGAACAATTTTTTGATTTTTAAAGCTAAAGAAATGATTAGAAGAGTTTGATCAAGACCATCAGGTAATCAATTTCTTGCATCATTTTAACAGTAAAAATATCTGTTTATCATAAAATGTCTATTTTCATCTAAATTATCTTATTTTATTAAACAATTTCTTTGAGTTGTAATTTTCATAAACATTAGAAATTTTCCAAGGCTATGTGCCAGTGTAAGGATTAGCAGTTGAGAAAAACTGCTATAGACCATTTATGAGATGGACTGATAAAATTCTAGCTTCTAACATAAACATTTTTCTGATAACAATTCAGATCATTTCAACTTTTGCATTTTTAATTAAAGAAGGATAACAAAGTAATAAACATTTTATGAATAACTACAGAATTTGTTCTTAATCTGAAATAGATTATTAATTTGAATGATTAATTACAATTTAAAAAAATATTTTAAGAAATTCTAATTTTTAATTTTAAATGGTAAAATATCTATATTTATAAAACATTGATAATTTACATTAGGATAATCAGAATCACATTTAATATTATTGACATGTTTTTATTGAAGATATTATGAACTATCTTTCTATTATTAAAATTGAAATTTCTTGTTTAACTTTAAAAATGTAAAGCTAAAATGCATACTGTTTGCAAAATATTGAAAATGCGCAATTTTTTCAGCATACATACATATACAGTGGTGCCTCGTACAACGTACTTAATCCGTTCCAGGTGCACGTCCGTTAAGTGAAACGTCCGTTATACGAAACGCATTTTCCCATAGAAATACATGTTAAAACATATAATTCGTTCCGCAGCATAAAATAACCGTACTGTACCATAAAAAATGAAAATGGAGCAGACACCAATTATGCCGGGTAGTCAGATGTTGTGAGGAGGAGGTGGAAGAACACTTTCTTTACACATTCATACAGATACAGACTTTTTACACATTGCAGCGGGTCTTTTTTTATTGTTTTTTAATCGGAGTCAGATTCAGGAGAGGCTACCGGAACTTGCAGGGTCAACTTCTCTTGTTCCATCCTTTGTTTTTTGCCCGCTGGCTTCTTGAAAAACATGACCAAGGTGGTCTGTTTCTCTTTCTTCTTTAACACCTGTCGGAAATGACGGACAAAGGTGTCATCGTAGAGATCATTGATCCTGTTGGCCTCAGCTCTGTTTGGATAATGAGTGTTGGTAAACTCCTGAACCTCTCCCCATTCGACAAGAAAGTTTTTGTCAACTTTCACTCCTGATGATTTCTTGCTTTGTTTCAATTGAAATCACCTTTCTGTTTTTTTAGAAGCCATGATGCATTATAAATGACTTAACTTGCCAGATTATATGATACGAATAATTCTTTATTAATTAAGATCACTAAACACTTCTACGAGCTACTCTCGCTCCGTTTGTTTTTTACAACCTCTTTTCGTCCCGCCACCTCGGCATCTACACAATTACATTTCGTTTATTTGAATCGTCAACATATACTGTATTACATTACATTTAATGTTTATTTAAATCATCAACATATATTACATTACATTTCTACTTCAGATATACTAATAATACATTCTAATAATACTAATATATCCTAAAAATAGCAGATTGTCATTGGCAACGGCAAAAGATTGGAAACATCATTCTCATTTGTTCGAAAAAGTCCATTGTTCGTCTCACGTAACTGCCGAACGGAAAGTCCGTTGTTCGCAGCAAGTCCGTTGCTGGAGTCACGTAACGGTCAAACTGAAAGTCCGTTATTCGCAGCGTACGTTATACGAGGCACCACTGTATTTTATTATAAAAAAATTATAAAAAATTATTTTAAAAATTTAGTTTGAAAATTTTAATTTTTGTTTGACATAAAGAGCATTATAAACAGATTCTTTATCTAACAAAAATAATTATTTTCCTTTAAGATCTTATACAGATTAATATATGCTTAAATATTTGTGAATTTTTATTTGTATGATCATTATTAGTTTCTATAATTGACCTTTAAGATGTAAAAATCTTGATTTAATAAATTTAATTAAATGAAATTATATAATAACTAATTTTCTTTTCTTTTCATTTTTTGTTTCTTTGCAGAATAATTCCCGAATATTGAGTGCTTAACCAGAAAAATCTCAGTTTAATGTTTTATTTCCTAATTAGTGAAATTATAATTTAAAATATATTAGATATATATGAAACCATTTTTTAGAAATATTGATTTGGAATGTAAAATATAATTTACAATTTCAATAAATCATAATTACTTTTATTGAAATTGATAAAGAAAGTAATCAATAACTTTATTAAAATTTAATATAATTGCATTGAAATTTAGTATAAAATATGTTGAATATTTGTTATTTGAAATGTGTAATAAATTTATGTGTTTAACATTTTATTCTTTTGGTATTTGATGTATTGTCTAAGTGGAATTAAAAATTATTCTAATTTTTAAAAATATACATATAATTTAAAAATAGTATTATTTATATGCTAATGCATATTGCTTAAATTTATATTTTTTTAATGTAATAATAGCCCACATTTTAATTTTGACATAATACTATTATTTGATTCAAGCATTTACTAATTGATAAACTTTCTTATTACACAGAAAAGGAAAAAATCCTCCCTCGAATACAATATAGACGAAGAGGAAAAAGCCTGAATCCAAATTCCATTAACAAAGATTCTACAGTTCGTTCATTTTGTCCATATTGTCAAAGGATATTTTTTAGTCCAGGAAATTTGAAAAGACATATTGAAATTCACATTCTTGATCGGAAAAATTATAAATGCCATATTTGCCATAAGCGATTTTCTTGGAAGAACACGCTTAATACCCATCTCAGGCGAGATCATAGCATTTTTGTATAAATTCAAGTAATTCATCTCTAATTAGTTATGAAATATGTAATTTATTTTTATTTAATCTAAATTTAAAATTATCATTTTCATAAATATTTATTTTGAAAAAACTAGAATAAAGCATTTATAAGCATATTTAATAAATAAAAATATTAGTTTAATATAATACTTCCAATGCTAAAATTTTTTAAAACTTTACATATAAATTGGAAAACAATTTTCTGGAATTTTAATACATTTTATTTTATTTTTTAAAATTAAATTTCACTTTTATTTTATCACAAAAATTTTATTGGAATTTAATAATAAAAATGATTTCACTTTTTAAAAAAATTGTTATTTAGAATTTATTATTATTATAAATATGTGTATATAATATAGTAATTATTTTAGAAATCCATAAAAATATTCTAAAAATAATCAAAATGTACATTTACAGGGTATTAAGAATCAATAAAACTTTTTCAAATAAATGTATAGTTTCAATACACATTATACATTATTTATATATGTAATGATTTGTAACAAATAATACTTATACAGTAAATTAAATTGAAGATTATTTCTAATAGAAGGATTATATTAATAAGCAGCAAAACTATAACAACTTATATTGAATTTTGTAAAATTAAATTTATGAAAGTTTAATATAAACAAAAAATTTAATTTGTTTAATAGTAACTAAATATAAAAAAATATATTAGAAATATCTTCACTTTATTGTAGAAAACATAAGCATTTTTTTATTAAGTATGAGTTAAGATTTTATATTGAATATTTTTTTATAAATAAATATATAATATTTTGTTTATTATTGTTAAGTAAATTGAAAACTTAAGTAGAAATATCAAATTACAATTTTACATAAACAAAGAAACAATCTTTATATTGATTAGAAACTTGCTTGGAAGTAACATAAGACAAAAATGAAATAAAATTTTATTATTGCTTTACATTTTTTTTATTGATACTGATGTTAGATTCTGTTAAATTTGAAAGTTTTCACATTAAAATATTTTTTATTGGAATCTTTATGTGTTACATTTTTTAAATTTAAAATACACATACTAAAACTTATATTGAATTTTCAATTGTTGCAATAGCAATTTTTTTTAACTTTTAAATTTTGAAGAAATATATTTTGCTGTTATAATAACTAAAATCATTCATTTTTAATTTTAAATTTTGCAATACATCAGATAAATATAAAATTTGCTTAAGAATTAACAATTTAATAAATATTTTTAAAGTTAATATTGCAATAATTATTTTATAAATATTTGTTTATATTAATAAGATCATTCTGATAAATACTGTAAAATATATCTTACTGTTAATAATATAGTAATAGAAATAAAATAAGCTAGTGCCAACAAATTTCGTAACATTTTATCTAAAAATAATTTCTTGTTTATCTAATTGCTTATATAAGGATAACAAATTTAGTGTAAAAGATCTTGTTATATTATTATTATTTAACAGATTTGATAAATAGAACTTTCAGTCTGTTGATTAGATCATCATACATTGCAATATTCAAGAATCATATTAGTTTTATTTTATGTGTTATATTATTATTGTTTAAATTTTTTTGTACTTTATTTTATAAAATTTTGTAAATTAAATCTGAGAATTAAACTTAATATATAATACTTATTGCATTTTAAAAGACTAAAATGTAAATTTATAATTGGAATGTACTGTATATTTCATCCTTGAGTTCTGATTCCATGTTATATTATAACATCTTAAATGATGTTCAAGTATGTATGGAAATATCAAGAAATGTATGTTGTACTTTAATCCGAAAAATGAAAATTGAAAGATTTATTTAACATGGGAAATATATAAAATATTTTAATAAGATTATTTCCTAAAAAATTTAATTACTGAACAATAAGTAGAAATGATATTTTAAGTTTCATATTTTTTACAAATTGTAAGATAGCATTATACATTTATGAATTATCTACATTACAAAAAGTTTTCAAACAGCAATAGCTATGCAAAAGTTATTAATTGTAGGAATTTTTTTTATTTGTTAACAAATAATCTTAGAGTAATAAAAATTCTGGAGTTTATTTCTAATGTTAAAAGCTTTTATTATGCAAAATATCCCACTGGAAAAATAATTCAGAATATAAAAAAGAAAATCTTTTCCAAATCCTAGTCTGAAAATGTTTTTGAACATAGTAGGAAAAAATGTTAAAACACTCTCTGTAATGATAATCACATTAGTTTATACAAATTAGTCAACTGAAAGTATTGCTTGCATCTATTTCCATTATTGTTATCTTTACATTGCTTTAAAATGGGTGCTGTTAAAGAATACAGTGAGGACTTTTGAAACCAAATTGTGACTTTCATTCTGGAAGAGAAGACTCAGAGAGAAATACCTCATCAGCTTGATTGTGCAGTTTCAACAGTAAATTACAAATGGAAGAAATATGAGAATATTGGAAGTGTATAAACATGGAAGAGAACTGACTAGTTAAGAGCAAATAGCATGAATGAATATAGTGTCTTCAGATGCATCTGTCTACAAAATCAAAAATTCACATCAAAAGAATCAAATGTTCACCAATACAATGTTTGCAATCAAATGGTTCATAATCAGTTAAATGGAATTGACTACAAGTTTTGTTAAGCCAAAACAAAACCATTTATGGAAAATAACACATGAAAAAAATGAATGAAATGGACAAGGCATTACCAAAAGTGGACCATCAATGATTCGGAGGAAGTTATATTTTTTTGATAAAAGCAGACTCTGTGTTAGTTGTGGAACCAATCACGGACAATTTGTATGGTGCATAGCAGATGAAAAGTTTTGACAACAATGTCTATTGCCTAAGAAAAAATTTCCAGTTCGTTTTATTATATGGAGCTTCATGTCAGCAAAAGACAAAGGCAAACTTTGTAATCTAAAAGAAACTAAATGGAAAAATGTATAAAGAAATTTGGATGCTTTTCCAATTTCTGTGGTAGAAAATCAATTTGGGGTTTTCCAGGATGAAATGCAAATTGCCATTGTAGAAAAAATGTAAAAGAATTTTGGAAAAAGAGAAACATTAAATCTTTACCTTGGCCAACAAACATCCATAATTTAAATGTTATTCAAACAGCCAAACTGAAAATCTGTGGGATAAATTGAAAATATTAATGGATGGAAAACAACTTACTGCAAAGGAAAAATGAAAGCTACTTTGTTGCAAAGTTGGAAGGAAATTAATTATGACTATTGCTTAGAACTTGTTAAATCAATGCCATCTCACATTAAGACTGTTATTATGGCCAGAAGAGGACTAACAAAATATTAAAGAATTTTTATTTTAATTTTTTAGTATGTTCAAAAACTTTTTTCAGACTAAGATTTGGACAAGATTTTCTACTTTTATATTCTGAATTATTTTTCTAGTGTGATATTTTGCACAATAAAAGCTTTTATCATTAGAAATAAACTCCAGAATTTTTATTACTCTAAGATTATTTGTTAACAAATAAAAAAATTTTTGCAGTTAATAATTTCAAACAACTGTTGCTGTTTGAAAAATTTTTTCATGTGTTGTAGTATAAACCAGAAATTATTTATTAATCTGTATCTGTAAGTACAATACAATACTGAATAGTTTTAGGTTTACTCATTTACTTACTTACTCAGCAAAGTAATTTTCCATATTAATTTTGTTTCAAATTGTGCTATAAACTCTATATCTTAAACCAAAACAAAGCCATAGCTTAATCCAGCATGGAAATGCATTTTTTTTAAGCTCCCAGAGATTAACCAGCTGACAAACAAGTTATTGTATCTATTATAATATTTTTATCATTTTCATATAGATTTTATTACTTCAAAATATGAAAAACTTATGTTCAGGGTTCCTATGCACCTGGAAAGTCATGGAAGATCAGGGATTTTCATTAGTGTTCAGAAAAAGTCATGGAATGTCAGGGAATTTGTTAAAAATTGTCAAAAAGTCAGGGAATTTGCTTCCTTGGCTGCCTTGTTGATTTTTTTTTTCTGGCAATATGCTTGACTGAAGTGTAGCCATCTGCAGGCAGCAAGAAGTAATGTAGTGCAATACAACTTATGAAAAAGGGTGCAGAATATTTTCAGGACTCAAAATTTCTCCTCCCAAGCTGACATAAAATTTTCCCAAAAATTTACAAAGTACACAAAATGATAAATAATTTAAATGGTATTATTTATCATTTTTTATTTTAATAATTTTGGTTGCATAACAAAACAATTTCTGATTTTTTTTCCCAGTTTATTAATACTTTTATAAAGTCCAGAAAATTTATTAAGAGATAAATTTAATAAATATATGCTTCTATATATGGATTATATAGAATTTGTTAATGAATAATAATAATAAAAATTTTTTTTTTTCAAAGCCTTATAGATTTATGATTGTGGATTAATAACAGAATTTTAATAATAGATTAATAATAGAGTTAATAATAGAATTTTAATAATTCAGCAATTATAAAAACTATATAACTGTTAATTAGAAAAAATAACTAATTAAAATATTGGAGAAGCAAAACATATGTACATAGGAAGTCAAATGCTGTTTTATTTTGTCAATGTGCCATACTCTAAGGAATGTGACGGTCAAGGAATTTGTACAAAGTTGGTCAGGATAAGTCAGGGAAATGAAAATAAAAATTTGAGTAGGAACCCTGTATGTTTTTATGATTACAGTTTTTTTTTTGTATAAAATCTTTTGATCAAGAATTTTCCATAAAAGTGCATAATTGCTTAAAATCATGCTAGTAATATATATTCCTAAAAAAATTCAAATTGCAAACCTTATGCATCAGTTTATATAAAATTACATATAAAAATTAATTTTTATCAAATATTACATGATATATTAGTTATCTAATCCATATTATATAATAAAAGTCACTGATGATTGTCTTTGATGTCAAACTTTTTATAAATTACATGATTTTTCTAGATGTGATCATTTTTGGATTTGAAGTTCATTTTAGTTCACTTAATCTCTCAATTAATTATTTGTTCATTTAACCTAATA